TTTTATTTTTTTATACCATGTTTTAATTGTATTTTAAATAATATTTAATCATATGTTACCTTTATATATTTATGTTCATACATATTTAATTATCATTACTATTATTATTATTATTCTTTATTAATTATGTCAATATATATAGTCTTATAAATATATATAATATTTATTTATTTATTCTATTTTCCTATTTATAAATTTAATTTTATAAATTACTTTTAAGAAAAATAATTATATTTTGATATTTATTTATTTTTAATATCAAAGAAAAAAGTTGTCTTAAGGTACCTAGAAGCTCTTTTCTGATATTTTTTTGAATAAATAAATATCTTACTATATTAAAATAAAATGTTTTTATTTATTTTTAAATATTAAAGAAAAGAGCTGTCTTAAAGCACCTAGAAGCCCTTTTCTGATATTTCTAAATAAGTAAATATCTTATTTATGTATATTAATATATTTTCTTAAAATTATTTGAAACAGTAGAAATATGAATTAAATATATCTTTGGATTTTTAAAATTTTCAATAATAGAGACAATTTATAATTAAAAAGTACCACTTTTGGGCGTTGTAGGGGTGCTAATCCTTCCCTAAACGTAACCGACCACGAATCCCTTTTTATTATTAAAAAGAACGAATTTTTGGTTATAAAACGCAGATCAGTTCATTTTTTTTATTAATGTTTTCTTAAAACTCTTTTAAAGAAAATAATTTTTAGGTGTTCGACCTACCTGATCCAAAAGGCCGATGGCGACTCACAAATTGTTTTCAAAATTATTTATTCACATCAATTTCCCTGCCAAGTATAATATTTCGTGCCCGGACGAAAACCGGTTACGACAAATATATTTTAAATTTGTTCTATATATATTTTCTATTATAAAACTGTTTTCGTCTTCAAGAATTTCATAAATTTATCTCCTTTTAAAATTTCATTCCTAAAATATAAAATTTTGTGTATATTCCTACTTTTAAATTATTAAAATACAAATTGGTGTCCCTAATCTTAAAACTGGAAAACATAATTAGTTAAGTTAATGCTAATGCTGCCTAAAAAGAACTTTGGTTTCTGTGATGGACCCATTCTTTTGGTATTCTATTTGGCATATATAGACGGCTAAACTATAATTAACAAAGAACAAAAAAAAAAGGTATTATCCACTTCAACCTATATTAGACATGTTAAGTGGAAAAAAGACGTATCATATAAGATGCGTTTTATAAAATGTCTTATATGTTACGTCTTTTGTTTATGTGACCATATAATTGTAAGAGTCTGATTATAGGCTGATTATAGGCATATATAGGCTGATTATCCATTTCAACCTAGTAGCTAGTCTTTTGTTGAACACTATTATATATGGTTTTATATTTTTTAACCATGAACAACGCGTACACACCTTATAAACATAATTGTTTGAACTTGATTCTTCGAAAGAGAATAATCTTTCTTTTAACCGCTGCGATGACTTAATATGTTCGTTTTCTTTCACGTTTTAATGGATGAACCCATGTCTTTAAGATTGGAGGAGAGAATAACAACCCTCTTTGATTTGCACGTGGATGGTTTTCAAGAGATATTAGGTAACATTCATAAATCACGTTATTTAACACATAAAAAATAAATGATAGACCTCAAATCCTAATTAAAGCGAGAAGCTGAAACCGATGATATTCCACATGCTGTTTACTTCAGACTTCATATCTGTCCTTTCTTGCACAGTTGGATGTTATAAACACCAATAATTCTCCTCCTTTTTCAATCACAAATTATCTCAACCCTTCACCTCACCTATAACTACATATTGTTATTATTATTATCCTAGAATTTCAGGGTAGTTATATTATATTTCTATTAATTTTCTAATTTAGTTTGATCCTTTTTCTGTTAGAATTTATTATTTAGGTTTCTTTTAATTTAATTTAACTTAAACAATTTATGATATAATATGCTTAATGAATAGATAAATTGGAAAAAAATGAAAGATATTAATTAATTGAGAAGAATTTCGGATCGATATGAAATAACTCTATTCTACTAGGATCTCTGAGTTCGTATAACTATATGTTAGAATCTAAACATAACCAAAACATAATTGATATAAGATCAAATTCAATATCTAATCACGTTAAATCATTAAGAATATAATATTATATTCATAAACGCGTATTTGAATCCATTGTCAGAGATTCCCTAGAATGTTAAGATCATCCTAGAAGATATGTGTTTCTCTTTTGTATACAAATTCTCTGACATGATATAAAAAAATACAAGTTAATATATTTCTTGAGAATCGATACCTATTTATATAACTAAATATTAAATCAATTTTTAAGTATTTATAAATTTATCGATCATCAAATTATAAATATAACTTATAGTATCTACATTTTAATTTCATGACACTTTAGTATCTATGATATTATAACATAATTAGTCGTGTAATTTTATATTATATTATATAATAGCGTTATGTACTATATATGTATTTACAATTACGAATTTGAATCCAACAATATATATGTGTGTTATTATTATTATTATTAATGCATCCTTATCTGCTAGTTAGTTAATTGGCTTAGCACTCAAGCTTGCATCTAGTTAGGTAGACCGACACCAATAAAGACGGAAAGCTTGTCCTAGTTCTAATTTTTAATATAAGATTTTCTTCAAAACACTACAAAACTAGCCTTATTGGATTAATCCGGGATATTTAAATTTTAAATCACTAAATTTAAATTATTTTGAATTAAATTTAGAGCTAATTGCATCATCAAAGTATGGTTCTATTTTTAAATTGGTCCTTAAAATTTTAAATGTTCCAATTTCATCCCTAAACTATGATTATTATTCTAAACTACTTTTGAATATTCCAATTTCATCCCTAAACTAATCACATCCCTTGTTAATAAAATCGCTAGGCCAAGTTATATTATTATATGTTTGAGAAAAACAAAATTTAGGTTAAACTATGATTGGAATTAATTACATATTTGGATAAACTTGGGGATGGAATTGGAAGATTTAAAAGTTTGGTGACTTATTTAGAAAGAGGGTCATAGTGTAGGGATGAAACTAGAATGTTTAAAAATTTAAGAATTGATTTAGGATGATAGTTTGGGGATGAAATCGAAATACTTAAAAGTTTGAGGACTAATTTAAAATTAGAGTTATAACTTGAGGACATATGATACAATTAACTCTTCCATTTATATTGAACTATTATATATATCTATGTAATACATAAATTTGTTGCGTGATAATCATAGATATATTGATTTTTTTTTTTACATTGGATAAAATATATGAAGCTATTTTTAAATTATAATTATTACAATGTATAAGAATATGAATTTATAAGAGTATATAATAATTTTGTTTTATTTGTACTGATAAATACGATATAATGTCAAAAAATACATCTAACATTCGATAAAATAGTAACTTTGATCTTTATTTTTTTAGAGCATTTTGATCTCCAATATTTCATTTTAGGGTAAAAAGATCCCTCCGTAGATGAAAATCGTTAATCAACTAATTATCAACGCTCCAAATAGAATTTTTTTTCCCTAAAATGAAATATGGGGGGGGAATGCTCCAAAAGAAAAGAATAAGGGACACAACGACTATTTAGTCAAACATTAGGAGTCTTCTTTATCCTAAAATGAAACGTTGGGGTCAAAATGCTCTAAAAAGAAAAGAATAAGGGACACAACGACTATTTAGTCAAACATTAAGAGTCTTCTTTATTCTAAAATGAAACGTTGGGGTCAAAATGCTCTAAGAGTAACAACTATAGGTCACTTGGTTCGTATAGTTTAACGAAAATCAAACATTGAACTAGTCTCATATATGTTAAAATAAAAAATCTTGAATTTGTTAAAGATTTTCACGATTTCCAAGCTGCCACATCGAGAATGATCAAAATCATCCATTCTTCCCTTTAATTTTTGAAGGTTTCAAACTCATTGGAAAAGAAAATCAAACATTGAACTAGTCTCATTTATGTTAAAATGAAAGATCTTAAGTTTATTTGAATTTGTTAAAGATGTTAATTATTAAGAAAATGATTGCCTTTTCAACATTTTTTCTTATTTAAAAGGTTAAACTACATTATTTAATAAAAGTTAAACTACATGAATAACCGTCTAATTACGAGAAATTTTATAAAATAATGTCAATAAATCACATGTCATTAATATTTAAAAGAATAATTTTATCAATTAACGCAAAAGTTAATAAAATTGATATGATTATTCATTTATCAATTTAATTTTAATTTTAATTTTAAAGGCAAAAACCATATATTCATTAAAAGTTCAAAAGAACAAAGACATGCACAAAATTAGTTTAGAGAATACAAATAACGAGGAAAAGTGTTATGAAAACACAAGGAAAGACATGGAGTACCCATGACTTTGTCGTGTTAAAAATTTTACAGAAACTTTCGTGAGATTAAGAATGTTGGCCATATATTAACCCCCATCAAGTAAAATTGACAAAAGATACATAAAGTAAAAGCGGATACATTAAGTCCCTAAAAAACATGTGCATATTCGGTATTTTTTTTTAAAAATTATTAAAATTAGGTTTATGTATTAAAATAACAAGAGGAAAAAAAATTATGTATATCCAATCCGCCACTGCAAAAAAAAAAAAACCTAGAAACAGAGATGGGCAAACATGAAACAGCTAGGGGTCCACTAGAGAAGACCTTTCATCCAAGGGTGCATACCCTTTACCTTTTTTTATTTACTCATTCCTTGTTATGTAAAAGCAATATTCAACAACTATTTGATAAACAAACATATTTAAATATCGGATAGCAAGGACTGGAGATTTGTTGTAAGTAAATAGAAGGTTGCAGTAAATGAGTAACCAGGATAAACAGGGTAACATGACAAGGTAACATTGTGATCAAACCCAAATTAAGCTACAGCTTCTAGAAGTTGCATATCTAAGTAACATACAAATACCCATATCCCTCCAAGATATACATAACGAAAGCGAGCCTTTTATTCAAATAATATTCGTGATCGATTCAACCATGCAAATGGCATTTACCATCCTCCTCTCTGCGAACCACCAGAGGAATGCACATTCAGCCTATCAAGCACCGCATTAAAATCCACCTGCTGTCCACTCTCCTCCATCCTCTGAATCACACTGGCAACATGGTCACCCCTGAAACCCATGCTCACTAATTTCTCAATCAGATCATTGTAAGCATGGTTTCGAACATACTGTGGATGGCCGGAGTTTCTAACACCAGGTTGAGCAGTCTGAAGAGAAACATTAGCAGGGGGATACCCACCCTGTGAGAAGTGAGGCTGTTGGGACGGGTGATCTGTTCTACCCCCTTCACTATCATACATCATGTATGCAGTTCCTGGAGGAAGAGGGGGATGGGAGCCAGAAGCCTGATACCCATCCCTTGGTTGTCCTTCAAAAGTACCCTTGATTTGCTGGGGAGGTGTTCTGCCAGGCACTCCGTATACATACGGATTGGAATCAGAGCGACTATGCACGGGTTGAGGAACTCCAGAATATGGAACCTGCATAGGGTTGCTGTGTGGTAATGTATCGGGATGAGATGGGTTTGATGATTGTGTGGGAGGATAGGGAGGGTAAGCTGGTGTGGAAGGAGGCCTCATCTGTGGTTGCATAGAGGACTGCTGCTGCTGTTGAACTTGCTGTGGTAACTGCTGTGGCCACTGTTGTGGATACTGAGGGAATGATTGGACAGGTGGTACCTGATGGGTCTGCGTAGGCTGTGGTGGCATCCTAGACATGTCTTGGATATGAGGAGTTTGATATTGTTGATCAGGTGGCAAATATTGACTTTGAGTGTGTTGGGTTGGTGCTGGAGCTGGAAGTGGAGGTGGTGCAGGGGCTTGGGCTTGGGCTGGAACATGGACTGGAGCAGGAGCGGGAGCTGGAGCTGGAGCATGGGGGTTGGATAACTGGTTTGAAGGTAGATAATAGGATTGTTGGGTCGAGTTCTGAGGTTGAGCTTGAGAGTGCGGCACCACAGGCTGTTGCGGTGGTGCAACTTGCTGTGGAAGTGCAAGGGCTAATTGCTGGTTTTGCATCTCATATGTGTGGTCAGTCTTTTTAGAATCAGAGGCAGCTGGTAATGCCTTCTCCTCAGTGGATTGTGAGTGACCGGAAGAAGTAGAATCCTTGTGAACAAGTTGTAATTTAGCCAACTCCTTTTGAGTCTCAGCTAGCTCCTGCTTATCTCTTAGTATTTGCACAGACCTGTGGACCTACATCGTGCAATGAATACTTAAGAAGTAAATTTCCAGAATCTAATGGTACAGTTCCGACACATGACGATCAAGGCATTCTCACAGCAACAGAAAAAAGTAACAAACAAGGTGATGGAACTGAAGTCCAGCTGGAAGAAATTCCAAACTCGATTATCTAATACAGTCTCTCTTAAATAGGCCACGAAAAGAGATCAAGCATGTAATTTAAGAGTGGCTTATCTCCAAAATATTCAACTAAGTGCTTTGAAAACATGCAGAATGAACCTGAATCCAAGCCAAATCTCCATATGATATGGATCCAAAGAATAAAATTTAAAATTGTCAAATTTTAATGCAAGATGAAGTTACTCCTAGAATATTACAGCAGGAGCGCAATAAACTACCAGATCTTTTATGATCCATATTTCATGTATTTCTCTTGCTTGCAGCTCCATTTTAGATAATTAGATCGGTGGCTTCAGAGGAAAAAGATAAAGAGATGTTTTCTGTAAAGAACAAGGACCGTAAAAGGAAATAAAACTAAGTCGGGACTGAGGGTACAAATGAAAATGATATACAATGTTCACACGATACTCACCTCTTGAAGATGTTTCTCGATAGATTTAAGCTTTGAATCTGCATCTTCATTATCACGAACTAAATCAGATCGCATTTCTCCAATTGATTTATCAAGATTGTAGCAATATAACTCCAACTGTGACAGTCGTGAACTTATTCCCTCAAGAAAGCGCATGAGGTTGTCCACATGTTTTTTCATGGTCTTCTCAACAGTAGCAGTCACATCCAAGTATGAATCATCTGGTTGACTGTATGCATTAGGTGGGAACATTGATCGTGCCACTCTGCCTTTGTGAAAATCCTACAGAGGTCAGTCTAACATGATCAATTATTTACTCTAGAAGCGAAAGGCAGTGCACCAATAAATACCACTTATCACAATAGAAAAAGAAGAGCAAGTGTAGCTCAGTTTTCCCTGGAATAACTATGATATGTAATGCAACCCCAAAGACAATATTTTTCAAGTTATTGTTTCACATCATAAAGCAAAAGATCAACAGCTCAATGCAATAACATTCCATGGCCAAAAAAAACATCTAATATGAGAACTTTAGGGTCTAAACTACAGTTTGTGAAACTGCATGTGACCTTGGCTAGGTTTGGTCATTATTTCTGTAGGGAACTACAAAGAAAAATGCTTATGATCAAGAAGTGCATGTGACCTTTTCTAGGTTTGGTCATTGTTTCTCTAAGGAACAACAAAGACAAATGCTTAGGATCAAGGATTGAAATGCAATAAAGATATACGTTATAGGAAAATAGATACCTAAAATGACAGATTTGACTTTACAAATTCTTAGGATCAAGGATGGAGATGCAATAAAGATATATGCTATGCGAAAATAAAAGCCAAAATGGTGGATTATAGACCTCCATCCCCCTCCCCCCCCCCCGACAGCTGCAAAACAACAAATAAGATATATGCTATGCGAAAATAAAAGCCAAAATGGTGGATTATAGACCTCCATCCCCCTCCCCCCCCCCCCGACAGCTGCAAAACAACAAATAGGTAGCTGATTTTTATAACTCTAACATGTTATTAAGGTAGAGTATATATTTGATTAAGAAAGGGTAATTCTTTTTCCGATCAAAAGACGTTCTCCAAAATCCAAACCTAAACTTGCTACTCATAGCATATACCAAAAATGTGATATAATATACACGACCAAAGTACAAGAAAGTTTCTCTCTACACCATCTAAAGACTGAACTTCAGCCAGCATCAGGTTCTACTTCCTGCAATTGGAAAACAATTTTTCGTTTTCTTATAACAATCCCCAAGAATCAACATTTTCTTGTTCTCATAAAAAAGGGAGTCCAGCAGCAACGAAATTACAGACACCATAAACTTCCTAATAATATCCAAATCATATGATTTCTACCCTTTGCAAATACCATGATTTGTTAACACTCATCTCTGATTACTCTCGGCTTAGTATGTTACCATAAGATTTGTAACCAATTGGATATATATATATATAACGGAAAAAACAGCAACCCCTCCCCGAAAAGGAAACAAGCTCCCACGATAAAAGGAGAAAATTATAGTATTTGAAAGTTCACTTGTAAAAACTCAAATCTTCCTGTAAATTACAAATATTTCCGATATAAGTTCACAGATTTTCTCGCACCTACACGTCAAAAATAGGCAATATAGTATGTTCTAAGCTTTACTAATTTTAAGTCAACCATCGATCAAATGGACAAAATTAAGCCTTTCTCTTTGTCAAATAAAACTCTCGAAAAAACCCTAATCAGATCAAATCCCTCTTACCGCAAAAGAAGAAGGAAGAAAATCCCACAAATAAAAAAGCAACAACATATACCTTGCTGGAGCTTCTGGTAGTAGTACCGATAGAGGTTTCAGCGTGGCTACCATTAGACGATTCCTGGTTTCCGTAGTCCTCATAAGAGCAAAGAATATCATCGGACCCAAAATCGAACCCTTTGGAACCACCCGAATTGCCCCGACCCGATAACCCAGAAGCCATTTTCCCTGAAAAAAGAAAACAGACTGACCCCAAATCGAAACAGTAAAATTAGTTCTCTGGGGATATTACCGAAAGGGGGAAGTAAAAAGTTTAAGATTTTTAAGCCTTTGTTTGTACTGAACAAAGAGATTAAAAATAAAACCAAAAATAAAGATTGTGATTGAAGCTTGAATTAACTTGTATGCAAAGCAAAGGAGAGGAAATTTCTTTGAAGGCTTTCGTCGTTGTTGTGTTGATTTCTGTGGGAAACAGGGAGAGGTTCAAGAGTGAAGAAACGTTTTAAAGATGGGTTTTTTATTTTTTGTTGGACTTTGATAAAGGTAAAGATGATGATATGAATTATGATACTTCTTTCTTCACCTTTTAAAAATAATCCAAATTGTTCATAAAAATAAGGCTTAATATTATTATTATTTTAATAATTTAGGTTTGAAATTCATAATTATTTCAGTTTTCAATTAGACTTATACATAAAGTAAGTCAATTTTTTAAATATTATCTTTGGTTTTTATTGAATTAATTATATATGGTGTTTTTAAATTTTAAATTAATTTTTAAGTTATTGATTTATTTCAAACACATTATTTTATTAATTTAATAAATTATTTAAAAATAAATATCAATTTAGATGATATTATAAAACATGTTTAAAACATATGTATCAAATTTTAAATAGTTTGTATCATTGTACAAATAATTTAGGATTAATATTATGTTAAAATTAGCTGACCATATTCTCATATGTAATGGGATGACGGGAGGTAAGGTAGTAGGCTGCCCCCAAATGGGTTGAGAGCAACTTCCGTGGAAGACCTCCGGTAGTCAGAATCATGAATTGCCCACCGTGGGACTCGATCCCACGACCACAAGGTTAAGAGTCTTGTGCTCTACCAACTGAGTTGGACGGGCAATTCATTAATATTATGTTAAAATAATTCTGTTAAATTTTAGGGTAAAGTATACAAATCATCCCCCGATTATATGATATTGTTTTGTTGAGTCTATTGACTATTAAAAGTTACAAAATGATCCTCTAACAAATATATAGTTGATTTATTAAGTCCGTCGATTATTAAAAGTTACAAATTGGTCACCCGACTATTCATTATGTTTCAAACTCGTCATTTTTCGTTAAAAATTTAACAATCGTCTGAGTTTGATGTTAACATGTTGACTAAAATATAATAGTCGTTTGAGATTATGAGATCAAGTCCAGCTATCACTGCTATTAATTTTTTAACAGAAATGACGAGTTTGAAACATAATGAATATTCGATTGACCATTTTATAATTTTTAATAGTCTAGAGACTTAACAAAGAACCTCATTATAGTCGTAGGACCATTTTGTAACTTTTAATATTTGAGAGACTCAACAAAATAGTATCCTATAGTTAGGAGACCAATTGTGTTATTTACCCTTAATTTTAATGATAGTCAAAAAAATATATATATAACATTTTCAAATTATCTATGTTACACATGGACATGTTTAAAATTGGGTAAGCAATATTGATTGTCTCTTATATTTTCGGTTCATTTAGTTTTGATAATTTGTTTTAATCTTGGTCCATTTTATTTTTATTATTGGATCGTTAACTCCTTTACTTTGTTAACTTAGCACATTAACAAAAAATAATTAAATTTTAACTTGAACCCTTGAAATTTAGATAGAATATTTGATCTTAAATATTATTTAAAATATTAATTTAATCATTAAACCTTATATAAAATATCAATTTGATCTCTGAATTTAATTAAAATTTACACCAGTAATCGTCTCTCATCATTTTTGCTAATCACCATCAATAGCTGTCGGTAGTCACCGCTTATCCGAACGCCGATTAGGGGCAAATTCAAGTAGAGTTTGTTAGGGTCAATTAACCCCACTTGGGTCTAGAAAATCCTTGTAAAAAATAGAGAAGTTTGAGAGAAAATAAAATTATGTACTCAAACCCACTTGATCCATCAAATAAAACTTAAAGTGCTTAAACTCAAGTAAAAATTAAAAATAATGTATACAAAAGTGGTGTAAAAGATGGTAGTGGTCCCTTAGTTAAATTATTGACCTTAATTCGATTTTCTTAAATCTATTTATACTAAATTTAGATTCGTTATTGTCTTGTCACCAATGATTGTTGGATTCTAAATTTTTCAATTCATCTTTATTTGATCTATTGAACGTAAATCTAGTATTTATTTAAAAAATAAAATCAAGAAAATTATAAAATAAAAAGAGAACGTGAAAATTTTAACCAGCTTATGGTTGGGAAGTAGGGCTGTAAACGAGACGAGACATATCGTGAGCTATTCGAGATCGACTCGATCAAGGCTCGATAAATACTCGGATCGAATGGACTCGACTCGAGCTCGAGCTCGACTCGAATTCTTAACGAGCTGAAACGAGCTACTTGATACTCGACTCGAAAAGCTCGTGAGCAGCTCGAAAATATAATATATAAGATTATATATTTTTTTTAAAAAATTATTAAAAATATTAATATTTATGTATTGATTTTTTAAAGAGAATACATTAAGATTTTCATGCATTTAAGGTTCAGATTCGAGTTCGAGTTTGAGGCTTCAATCGAGTTAAGTTTAAGAATTTTTTTTCTTCATTTCGAGCCTTTTCGAGCTCTCACGAGCTTTAGTTCAGGATTTCGAGTTCGAGTCGAGCTTGGAAATTTTAAGCTCGCGAGTTTTCGAGTCGAGCTTAATTTCAGAGTTTTCGAGTCGAGTCGAGCTCAGCAATACTCGAGCTCGACTCGGCTCGTTTACACCTCTACTGGGAAGTCTAAAGACGGTTATTATTCACCGAACAATTTTCCCTACCAAAAAATACTCGTGTTTCATCAAAGCTTTGTGACCACTGGATTTCATTTCAAAAGAAACAACTAGTTAAAAATGTAAAAATTATGTTTCAAACCATAATTGTTTCAATCCTGTGATGGCAACCACGACAGTAGCATATCTAAAGATTCCCATGTTAAAGGTGTCAATACAGAAATTGTCTGATCATTGCAATGCCGAAATGCATTTAACCCGGTAGAAGATGATGTCTTTGAGACGCTCATTATTGGATTAAGGAGTCAAATTGATATTTTATATAAAGTTTAAGGGTCAAATTAGTATTTTATATAAAGTTTAAGGTCAAATTAATATTCATTTAAAATTTAGAGATCAAGTTAAAATTTAGTTATTTTTACTAACATGCAAAATCAGTAAAGTAACAAGAGTCAACGACCAAATGACCAAAATAAGACAGATCGAAAATAAAAGTGACCAAAACCAGACCTTTCAGATTTAGTGACCAAAATCGAACATATCAATAATATAATATACCATCAACATTATTTACTCAATTTTAAACACACGTCCAAATGTTATATGGATAGTTTAAAATATCATGTATAATTTTAATTGTCATTAAAATTTAACAAAATTATTTTTAACATATTAATTTTAAATTATTCATTCTTTTTTTTATTATCTGGAGTAAGTATAAGATAATATTTATTCAAAGATAATTTTCAATCATTTGACATCAAACGTTTATACTCTTGATATTTTTAGTGTTCGGACCCGAAACTTCAAAAAATAATAATAATTATTTTATCACTGAGACTACTTAATTCGTGTTATTCATGCAGATTTTGAATTAATATTATGTTGTTGTATTATCATAGTCAAGGACGATTGCAATTTCCTTTGTATAGACAACCCAACAACCAGGGTGATCAATTGGATCATCTAATCCAAGCACATCACATGGGTGATGGGCCAAATATACCTTTACAATAATTTCTGCAAATACAAACATTATAATCTAAATAATTGACACGTCAGATCATTATTCAATGTCAAAAATACAATTATCTGTTAATCAGTCACATCAGAACCGTCATTCATATAAACGGAGGAGGATTTTCTATGCCATTGTGAATTTTTATTCTCCACAAATATTAAAAATACCTTTTTTATTTAGTTTTCAATTGTCTTTGGTCCACATAATGTTCTTTCCCGTAATCATTTCCGATTATGGTTATCCAAACACAATGATTTTTTATTTATATACGATGATAAAATTAATTATATTTTTTTCCCTTGTCTTTTGGACATCCCAAACGTTATTTTTCTCCGGGCTATGAAAATAATTATAGAGTAAACTATAATAATTAGGGATGGCAAACGGGTAGATCGGGTGCGGATATCCCTTCCCCCATCCTCATACCCACCTACTATTTTTCAATCCGCCACCCACCCACCACCCATGATGGGTATAAATTTTCAAATCTACACCCGCCCACGCGGGTACATTTTTAAATCCATCCCCACACCTACTACCCACTAGCGACATACCCATCTAGACCCGCCTGACAACAAACTAATGAGATGTTGGAGTTGGTTCGTAGACAGTTCGTGATGGGGTAGCAGCGCATGCTTCAATTTGTCTGAGGAGGGGCTCTACGAATGGTATGGAGACAGATTGTAGGGAGCATGTAGTCGCAGAGCTGGATTGTTGTGTTGCTTTCGATGTTAATGCTCATAGTGCGCCTAATATGGGTTTTGAGTGGCTAAAGAACATGAAAACTGTTGCTTTTAATGTTAATGCTTATAGTACGAACTAATTTGTGTTTGGATGGGCAGCATGAACTAAATAACATGGAAAGTGACGTGGTTAGTGGGATTATGGGTTTAATCAAAGAACCGAATATTCCCCTAATTAAATACCAGATTAAAGACTAAATATCATTAATATTTAGTTAAATTATATGTTATATATTAAATAATATTAAAATTTATAAATTAGTCTCTAAAATTACACCTAAATTCATAATGGTCCAAAATTTAATAGATATTTAGCTGGGCGGGCGGATATGGGGCGGGCGGATGCGGGGCGGGTAATGTCTCAAACCCATTACCCGCCCACCACCCACGACGGGTACCACTTTATAAATCCACACCCGCCCACTACCTGCTAAAATTATACCCATCCCCGCTCCAATTGGAGCGGATGCGGTGCGGAATCCACGAAACTGTACCCGTTTGCCATCCCTAATAATAATAGTTATTTAATTATTTAGGTATTATGAATCTATAATAAAAGAATGTTAATTTTTCTAAAATTTAAGTTAAAATAATTGTATCTATGAAGTGTCTTACCACAAATTTAAATCTGGTATAACAAAAGTTGTGTTAACCCACTAATATAATGTACGCTTCCCTTTTAGATCGGATGAAACTATGATCAAAGCACATGATGTCAAACTTAAACGTCCCAACCAAAAACTTTATTCTATCATAA